GATACTGGAATTAAGTTTAATGACATATAAGGAAAAGATCCGTAAATTTGCAATTCATGAGAATCTGAAAAATTGAAATAAAGTATTTAGGACTTGCAATTCTATGTAAACGGTTTCACTGAAACAGTTGGCTTACTCCCCAAGCGAATCCTATTTTGTGAAACTTGATTATCCTACTTACCCTATCTTTCAACTTAATTTACCATAATTTGAGAGAAATAGGAAATTTTTATGAAAATAAAAGAAATGTTTAAATTTGCAGAAGAACTATTCTATTTTATTATATGATCCATCAAGTTAAAAAATCCTTTGTCTAATAAAGGAAATTTGAATAAATGCATTGCCTCTTTTGCTAACTAAACAATTGAATTCAGCTCATTTTTAACTTTGATTTCGAGACACTCGCTAATCACTGTGAACATTTCCGCTTAAGATTAACGCAATTTGAAATGAATGTCACAAAATATGTGAAGAATTTACCTTTTTTAAATGCTCTAACTGAGAATGTACATGTTATTTTGGATAATCACAATTTCTGGATTTTAGACCAGTTTGTTTGTAAATAAATCATTTTTAAAAAAATATTTAAGTATGATTTTATGTTTATTGATATTTATTGACGAAAAATAAACAGCTTGTATCGTTTGAATCTAAATCACATTTATCACAGTATAGGCAATATGGAGATGGTTGTACTACATTATTAATTAAAAAAGTCGGCATTTTGAATCAAACAAACAATTTGCCATAATTTCGGATTCAAATTTTGAAATTTTATATTTTTTGAAAATAGCAAGCATTAAAACGAGCTATCAAAACCTTTTCTTAATTCACAAATCAAAAAAGCTTTTTCCAATATTTATTTTGATTAGCAACACGTTATTTATTTATTTATTTTCTGCTGCGCAAGTACTACGATTTTATTGAATACTTCAGATCAATTTATTTATTATTTTTTAAATGACATTAAAATAACTATTATGCTGATTTATTTTTTACGTTTTCCGTTAGGTAATTCCATTTGCTAAAACAGTCCACATGTTACAATTATCGTCAAAAAACTAGTCATATTCTCGCCAAACACTATATTTTCTTTTTTATTTGGAAAAACATATTCTTTCCGAATATATCTTTTGCTTTGATGGGTATTCGTTTCATAAATATCTTTATGCAAACGAGCTGTCATTTCAACATTATTAATTTATACTAAAAATTGATTTATTTGCCAACTGCATGGCAGAAAAACAAACCGAACGTACAGTGACATACCTCCAGTTTTGTATACATATATTCTATGATGATATGTGAATTCCATCTACTTTACCCAAAAAAATAAAAATGGAAGTTAAAAACAATTTTGCTCAGACACGTTTATTTAATTTAATGACAACTTATGGAAATAATAAATATAGACTGATTAAAACTTAAATTAGATCATTTTTATGAATTTTTTAGAACAAAATTTTGAATGATGATTTCTATCCCTAGAACTAAATCTTGTATTTTTTGCTCAAATTCGTCATATGGAATAGGGTTTGATTGTGTGAGTGAAAGCATTTATAAATTAGTAAAGTTATTTTGCATATTTTGATGCCCCCAAATCTAAAAGCAATTTGATATCTAAAAATAGTCAAACAATATTCAAAATGTCCTTGAGCAATTTTTATTCATTTCCAATTTTGTTAGTATTGGCTGGCATTGCTAAATAAGTTATTCAGGCGAGGTGATTTCTAAATAACTATATTAAATCTACATTCCATTTTGTCAAGTTACGACTTTCCCGCAATAAATAGCGTTTTCATCATTTTTGAAATTTATAGAAGATATTTGTCAACTGTTTTATTTTTCGCATCAGCCCTTTGATTTTATGCACTTATTAAGAACAGTTTTTTAAGGAATTTGCGTTTGGTTTCACTTTTAATTTCGAGTTTCTTATCACAGTTAAAGTGTTCTGCTACGTAATGCAATCTTTGAATTCAATTCCACAATTTTGAAAGATTGATCTTGCATATTTTGGCATTAGCTTTACATAGTCATCATGAAGAATTATTGATTTTCAGTCTAATTTATGCAAAATTTCTTATTAATTTCTGCTAAGAATTGTTAAATTTTTTGTCAAGGAAATTTATCTATAACTTTTCTTAATGGAGTACAAAAGTGCATCCCCCAAAATACATTGAAAATTCCAAGAATAAACTGCGAAAAGTATTAAATAATGCATTTCTCGTTCAAAACAGCAGTTTAGCATAAAATGAAGAAAATTTTGTCGTCAAGTCAATAGAGAAATGTGTTAGTTTTCCTGTTTATTTTTATACATAGTGTTGTTGATGCGTGAATCCCAAATTCCCATGTCATTAATTTTATTAACGCTTTTATTACGGACAATTGAAAATGTACTTTTGAATTTATGGGGCATTTCCTTCATCGTTAACCGAAGTTCTATATCAACAAGGAGTTTCAATTTGGCGTCAAAAACATCTACCGATGGTGCTGGTTTAGGCCCATCTCCCTTAGGGCTAATAATGGACTCTAATCGATCAAAACGAATATGCAAAGCGAGACATTTTATTTCTGATTTTGAGAGGAAAATTGTAACCATGCTTATATAATAAAATTTGATTATCATATAGGTTATCAAAAATAATTGTCTACGAAGAAAACACTCAAAAATTTCATTACAACTAATAATAAATTTTTAGCTATTATATGAAACCTTATTTATCGCACCTGTTTTACTCAGTTACTTTCTAAAGCCATTGGAATTTTGTT